ATTCATCAAGCCATGCTGTGGCGGCATCCCACATACAAAATAGAGGAGGATTGGCACAGATGTCAGCTCAGTGACAATCTTCCTCGAGCAAAAAGAGGAAGATTGGCAACAGATGTTAGCTCAGGGCCAATCTTCCTCACCAAAAAAAAAAAAAAAAAAAGGAGGAAGTGTAGTCAGGACAGCACGGCATTGACCTCAATGCAGAGCCCTTCTGAGGGCTGGCCCTGTGTGACCGCAGGATCATCCACCAGAGCAGCTGCCCTGCTCTCAGCACCCCTCCGTCCTCTCAGAGTCCTGGGGCAGAACCCTCTGTGCAATGCACTGACCCTAGAGCGGCTGTTAGCCTGTCCTCCCTGGCTGGTGAGGCCGGACTTACAGACTCACATGTGAGCCCTCTGGGAAATCGGGGCTCAACAAAGAGCTTCAAAGTGCCGGGCCCTGCCTGAGCTGCCGCCTGCTCTGGGCTGCTGTCCCGATTGCCAACTCTCGCTCTCCAGTGGCTCATTGTGGGCTCCCAGTTCGAGGACATCCGAGATGCCCTCATCTGGCTGCTTTGTCATTTACCGCCTGGCTGAGGCCCATAGTCAGGCCGGCTGCCCCCTCAGGAGCTTCAGGGCCCGGAGCAGCCGCCTGTGCCGGGGCAGTGCCCCTCTCCCCTCCTGGGCCACCCTCCTGGGCGCTGAACTGACCCCGCAGCAAGCCTGGGCACGGAGCTGCACATGGTCACCCCTGCAGCCACTGCACCGTGAGGAACAGGCCAGTTTGCAGGGGCCAGGCCTCTGCAAGACCCGAGAGGAGGGGCCAGTCCTGGAGGCCCTACCCTTCTGGGCATCCTCCCCCCGGGGGACCTGGGACTCCACATCAGGGCCATTTGGGGCCTGAGCCTTGGCCCAGGACACTGCATTCTCTTAGGGCTTCATCCTTGCCCGTGCGTGACAGAGAATAGACAGGAGCCTGCAAGACGGGGTCACTGAGGCCGTGTGCCGGCTGGGAGACGCAGAGATGACAGAGCAGAGGCAACATGGCAGGGACGAGCTCCCCCAACTGGCACCTTTGCCTGGCAATTCTTTGTGCTCCTGGGGGTACTGGGCACAAAGACCCGTGCACCCACGCCTTTGGTGCCGGGACTCTGCAGCACCTCCCGTCAGGAAGGGGTGAGTCTGTCTGTCTCTGGCATCTGGACCAGCCTGTGACTTGCTCTGACCAACAGAACGTGGTGGGAGTGGCACGGGGCCGATTCTGAGCCAGGCCTGCTGCCCAGGCTCCCCCACACCCGCAGCACGGCCTGGCGGCCTGCTGGGGCACGATGGGCTGTGACGTCCCGGCGAGCGCCGGAGACGGGAGAGCGGAGGCCCGATCGGCAGAGCCCTCTCCCAGACCCGCAGCTGATGGTGGACGCAGGAGCCCGGCCAGCCCAGAGGCCACCAGGTTGAGCCCAGCCTCGCGGCCCCTGCAGACTCGGCCATTGTTCTAAGCCCCGTGCTCTGGGGTGTTGGTTACGCAGAGGTGCTGATGGCCACGGGGCCTGGCAGCGAAGGGGCAGCTGTGCACGCAGCCACTGTGTTTCTCTCTTTCCTCCAGAGGAGGTTCTGCCCCCGAGAAGCTCTGCTCAGGGCCCCTTCCTGGGAGCCTGTCCTGAGCAAGGAGCCTGCGGGGCGGAGGCCACCAGGTGTCACGGAAGGAGCCAGTGTGCCAACCACTGCTTCACTGCGTCATGCACTCACTCCCCAAGGCTTCTGCAGGGGCCCTGGGGAGGCCCAGGCCACAGGGCAGGGTCACGCCTTCCAGTAGCTTCCAGTCCGATGGCGGAGATAGACAAGGAAACAGATGAGGCCACGTGGCGTCTTCTCGAGTCAAACCAGGTGAGCCCGTGGGAATGCCAGGAGGGGCAGTGAAGCCCACCCCAGGAAGAGGTGGTGTCAGGACCTGAGCCTGTGACCCCGGAGCCTCACCCCAGACCAGCTGCTCACCCCTGCTCTGCCAATCCCTGTTTCCTGTAGACCTCTGGCCACACCGTGCCGGAAGGATCCAGAAAGCAGACGGGGGGGGTACACTTCCTCTGCACCCCACAATGCAGACAGGGCCCAGGCTAGCCCTCGGGTGCAGGCTAGCCCGCCACCCCTCAGAAATACTCAGAAAACACTTGCTGAGTTGAATTGAAAGGAACTAAATTAAATCAAACAAATAGCACTGGTCTGTCTCATTGGGTGGGCCACAGCCTCATGTCCAATGATGTGGTCGGGATGGGGACCATTTTCCATTTTCCTCTCCCTCCGGGTCTCCACCCCCAGGGTGGGCACAGGGCTGGGAAACATCAGAGCTGATGCGTGCTGACCATATTTGTAAAGATTGCCCCTCTTCTCAGTCAGAAAACTCCAGAATAGGTCTTGTCTACTCATCTCCTTCTTCGTTTTATTCCTCAAATTTGGGGCAGGGGCACCTCCTGTGGGACGGAAACTGTGCTCGGCCCCGGGGTGAGAAGGGCAACCAGACGCAGTTGCGGACCTGGAAGAGATCATCGTCTAGCAGAAGAGATGGTGCAGGCAGGGGCCACAGGTGGATGTGGAGGGAGACATGGCAGGATGAAGGGTCAAAGGGAGCCCCAGTGGGGACCTGAGTCCAGGAAGGCTTCCTGGAGGAGGGGACCCTTGGGCAGGAAGGAAAGGGGAAGCAGGGCTGGAGAAGGCAGCAAGGGCGTTGAGGGAGGGAGAAGAGCGCAAGCCGTGTGCAGGGCCACTGCAGCGCCGTGGTGGAGGGACCAGGGGGCTGGGGCACGATGGCCGGAAGCATTGTTGACTCCACAAGTTTGGAGTTTGTGCTGAAAGCAGACAGGGAAATCCGGAGGATGCTGTGGTCCATTGCTCCCTGGTCCCTGATGCTCCCAGCCCCGCCTCCACGCCCTTTGCCCCTCGTCTTGGCGTTTCCTCCCGCGTGGGGCAGAATGTCCTGCTGGCCCCGCCGAGGCAGGGCTTGGCAGCGGGATGAGCAGAGGTTTGGAACCTCCCTACAAAAGCTGTGCTTCTGCCAACCAACAAGAAGGTGCCCAGGGGGCCCGCTGGCCCAAGGAGGGTGAGGGGTCTTGAGCAGACCCGGAGCCCAGCCCCTCAGCGGAAGGCCAGCCCCACCCCACTCCGATGCTTGCTGGGATGGCTTCCCAAATACAGGGCCGTCTGAGTCAGTGCAGGCTGCTCCACCACAGTACGCAGCCCGGGGGCTGAAACAGCCAGCATTTTCTTCTCCCAGTCCTGGAGGCTGGGAACCCAGGATTGGGGCGCTGCCTGTCCCACGTCTGGCGAGCGTCTGCTTCCTGGTCCCCAGATGGTCATCTTCTCATTGCGCCCTCACGGGGCAGAGGGCAGACAGCAGCGAGCTCTCTTGAGTCCCTTCTTACACGGCCACTGATCCCATCACGGGGGTTTCCACCCTCATGACCTCATCACCTCCCAAAGGCCCCGCCTCCTAACACCATCCCATGGGGATTCGGGTTTCAACAGGTGAATTTGCGGGGGACACGCACATTCAGTCTACAGCAAGCACTTAGACTCAAACCCTCGCCTCCAGCTCCGCTTCTGGGCAAACCCAACCGGACGCGGCAGCCACGTGCGCAAACCCAGACGGCGCTGCGGGGGTCTCCTGGGCGGGCGAGGCCAGGTGGCAGGACGCACAAGCCCGGCCCGGGGTTTGGGCCTTCAGCCCAACCTTCGCCAGCCCTGGGATCTCAGGAAAGCCTCGATGAGGGGACGGTGTCCTGCCTCCTCCCGTGATGAGGTAAGGTAAGCAATGGGCTATTTGTCACGTGCCTGGTACCCGACAGGTGCTCAGATGCTGTGGTTACGATGCCACAGCCCAAATCTGCCAACACTTTGCTCAGCGGTTTTAGGCAGGAGCCAGCCAAAGGCTTTCACTCGCCCTCTCCCGGGGGTCAGATCACCCTGCCCTGCCCGCCTCTCCCGGGAGCCCATCCCCTGGCCCTGGTGGCACCGGACCCTTCTGGTGGGCAGGTGGAGCATGCGCCCGGGGAGGGGGCAGTTACCAGTCACTGATCGGATCAATAGTGCCCCCTCCCCTGGCCCCGAGGCTGGCCTGCCTGAGGGGTCCGGCCATGGCCCCTTCTTCACCCCGAGCCTCCCCCGTCGCCGCCGCCTCCCCACCCCTCTTCCCCAGCCCTCCAGGGTGAGCCGCTTGGGGACAAGTCCATCTGTGACGTGGTCCTTCCATACAGAGGGTCGTGGGCCTGTCAGATTGGGCCACCCGAATTAAGGGTGATGATAAAACCTGTCCCTCCAAATTAGGCCAGAGCCCCGGAGCCCCGCTGATTACAGGCAGCGCACAGCACGGACAAAGGCGCCGGGCAGGTCCCCAGAGGGTCATTAACATGGATGGAGGCCCTTTGTTTCTGCAAATTAGGCCACGGGGGTGCTCCTCGCAGAAGCTCATAGCGGGCATCCACAAGTCCGAGGGTCCTGGGTTCCAGCCTGGGGTCCCCCGGCTGATAAAGAAGAGACCAGGCCATTTCCCAAGCTTGGGTTCCTGCCGCGGGGGCTCGGCGGGGGTGCACCTGAAGAATGTTCCGGAGAAGTGGTCCCATGGACCAAGTAGGAATTCTTGCCTCATGTGGAGGGTTTTGCTCTTTGCAAAACCTTTTAGGTTCCCAGTGCCTTTCAACCTCCTCCACCCCCACCCCATGGGAGGTGGCCAGCACTTTACCGTTTATAACGCTTCCTTCCTCTGTTCTTTCGTTTGAGTTTTGCGACGGGTCATTGTCTCTTCAGACCGAGTTCAATGATTTGCCCAGGGTCACACAGCCCATTAGAAGCACGTGGGTCCAGATCTCAGGTCTCAACACCCACATCCCTTCCCCACATCAGGACCACCATGCCCGAGACCCCGCACCAGGAGAGGGGCACGTGGACTTCACTCACGCCCTGTGCTCACGGGCAGAGCCGACGTCAGGATTGAAAGGAAGAACCTCGCCCGCCTCACCTGGCTCACGGTGCTCTGGGGCAGAAAGGCAGGTAGCCAGCCACCCCAGCCCCCAGCGGGGTGACCCCAGGCCAGTGAGGGACAGTTCAGAACGAGAAGGCTCCCTTCTCAGCAGGAGGACCCCGGGAAGCCACCTCCTGCAGCCGCTGCAGAGACCATGCAAGTCTAATCTGGAGAATTCTCTGAGCCCGCCAATGCCTGCCCTGCCATCCCCAGCTCCCTCCCTCCCTTGCCCCTGCCTGGCCAAGCTCAAAGGGGCGGGGTGGGGGTGGCCCTGTTGCTCTAATAGAAATCGCTTTCCGCCAGACAGCACTGTCACAGTACACAAAGTTGTGCTCTTGAAGGAAACAGGGCCGGACGAGCCCGCCTATTTCACAGAAGTAATCCCAAGCCCCAAGTGCTCAATCCTGACCGGGTACCAGTAACTGCAGCCAGCGCTACACCCGGCATCGCTTGTATGGCTCACACGGCCTTGCCAGCGGGAACAGCAGGGCCGGCTACGTCATTTGTGGGGTCCGGTGCAAAACGAAAATGGAGGGCCCTTCTTCCAAAATGAGGAGGCCCCTGAACGCAGGGCCCTGTGTGACCCGGGGGCTGGGTAAGTCAGGGTTCCTTCAACGCCTGTCTGGCGGGCACCGCTTCGTGCCAGACACAGTTCCCTCCACCTGGGGCGCTCAGTCGGTGGGGTGGGTGGGGCTGATGACAAATAAGCAACAAGAGGGTCACGGACTGTGTGACGGAGCTGAAGGAGGTAAACTGGGGGCGTCCCTGGGGGATGCCTCTGTGCAGGGGCTGATCAGAGAACTGAGACGCCTAGAGTGACGCTGAGTGCCGACCCTGCGGGACGGTGACCCGGGGGGAAGGAAGAGTCTGAGCAGAGGAGAGGAGGCTGGGAAGGTGCCGGCTGGTTTCCGTCCTGCTGTCTCCATTAGATGAACTTCCCCGGTGGTCTGCACCCTGGGCCCCACCCCACGCGGAACCTCACAGAGGCTCTCGGGGCACCCTCCCCACCCCAACTGCCTCCTCCTGTCTCATCTCGCTCACTCCTCTGTTTGGGGCTGGGTTTGGCATCTTCCCTTCCTACGTGGATACGTTTCAATATTTCAAAAGGGAATTTTATTAAAAAGCAGTTGGATGACAAGGTTTCATACCTAATACATTGTCGTGTGAGAACAAAAAGTTCTGAAACAATACAGTGATATGATTTGTACAAAACGAACAGGAGTGTAAATGTGGGGAGATAGAAAAAGAACTGGAACGGGGCCTGCCCGGCGGCATAGCGGGTAAATTCTCATGCTCCACTTCAGTGGCCCAGAGTTCATGGATTCAGATCCTGGGTGAGGACCTACACCACTCAGCAGCTGTGCTGTGGTGGCATGCCACATAAAAAGTAGAGGAAGATTAGCACAGATGTTAGCTCAGGGCCAATCTTCTTCACCACACCAAAAAGAAAGAAAGAAAGAAAAAAGACTGGAAGGACTTGCATCAAAATGTTAACCAGGATTACCTCTGAGCAGGGCGATTTGAGGGTTTTTATTTCCCAGATCATCCTCTTCCGTGTCTTCTGATTGCTTTTGCAATATACACGTGTCAATTTTACCACCAAAAAATGCCTGGTCGTTCACTCTTGGGGTGAGAGGAGGCGAGGAGAAGCCACTAGGGGAGGGGGCGGGCTCCTCTGCCCAGCGGGGCCTCGTCTGCTCTTCTCCTGGCCTGGCTGTCCCCTGCCCAGTGGTCCTGGCTCTGGCCACCCAGCTTGCACATTCGACTCCCTCCCCCGACACCCACACCCTCCTCCCCTTCGGTCAGGCTTTGCCACCTCCCACCCTTTGCCCCTGCTGTGTCCCCTGCCTGGCCACCCGCTCCTGCCTGTCTCAGCAAGGGCACATCAGAAACACCTCCTCCAGGAAGCCTTCTCAGATTCCTCGGCTGGGGTGACCCCACCTTCCCCCAAACGCCGCCTGCTCTCCCCGTATCTGGACGCGCCCCAAGCTGTCCAGGGGCGGCTGTCTCAGCTTTGAGGGAAAAGTCTGCAGCAAGTCTTTTCCTGGACTGGGCGCGGGGCACGGAGTGGGTGCTCGGTGAACCTCTGCTCTCCCATCGCTGTCCTCCAGGCAGGTGGGCAGCCGGCGAGGCCTCACGGGGCTGGAGGGCCGGCTCGCTGTCCTTCTTGCCATGGCATCAGCGGCTTATCCAGCAGCCATGAGCAGCAGACAAAGGGGGACATTGGCGGCCTCTCCCAGGGGTGGGTGGAGGAGGGGACTGGAGGGTGACATGGTGCACCGGGCCACACAGCAATCCGGGCTAGAAGCAGCAGCCGGTTCCCACCACCGGCTCAGGCCCTTCTGGAGGCCTGACCCCGAGCACATCCCAGGATCCCGCCGGCTTCCCAGGGAGAGTTCCCAGGAGTCCGCCCTGGGCTGGAGAGGAGCTCAGGCCCCCTGGGTATGCGGCTGCAGCCTTCACGGGCACCCAGAGCCCCGGCCTGAGCCAATGTCGTCATTGTCCCCTTGACGCGTTGGGAAAAAATTTCCTCGGACGAGTCTGCAGGGCTGTTCTCAGACCCTCTGTTTCCTCTTCTCTGAATCTGTGAATCTTGGGAAAATGGAAAGTCCTCTGAAAGTGTCCCTCCGCCAGGCGGTCCCACCCTCAGATCTCAGCTGAATCTGCTTCACAGAGAAACAGCGAGAAAGGAGCGTGTGGCCAGCCGCTCCGACTGGGCTCCTGGATCCCGCCACTGATCGCTGGCCACAGTGTTTGGGACACCCTAGCAGTGGCTCCCGGCGCTGACCCCAGCTGTGCACAGCTGAAAGCCCGTTACCAACTTCACCTCGTTCAATCTCCAGAGCAAACACTGAGGCAGCCCATATTGTTAGATTCCCATTTACAGGCTGGGAAACTGAGGCAGCAGGAAGCAGTGTCACTCACCCAAGGCCACACTGTGTGTCACAGCCGGCTGCTCCTCCGGGACCCTCCGTCCACACCACTCGGTCTCTTCAGATGGGGCCTGCGGTGGTCCCCTCCCACTCTGCTCCTGGGGGGCCCCCACCAGGAGCTCAGAGGTCACACCCTGGGACTTCTGAGTGTGACCTGGGCGGGAGGTCCGGGTCTGAAAGGTGCAGAATCCAGGCCCATCTCTTCAGCTCTCCTAGGAAAGATGGCTAGACCTACCCCCCGGAGACCCCACAGTCACCCCCAGGGAGCTCCCTGACAATCAGGCCAGTGCAGCTCCCTGAGGCCAAGGACCTTCTCTGAACCAGGCCCCGTGTGGGCAGCGGGGCCCGAAGATGAAGAGGTACGTGGAGGCTGATGGCGGGGACAGACACGCAAGCTCCTGTCCCAGGATGCCAATGCCTGTGACGAGTGCTGTCCCATACAGGGGAACTGAGCCCAGTGGGCACCCCGGGGCAAGAGAAAAGAACTCTGCAGGCCAGGGGGCTGCCCCGGGCAGCCCTGAGCACCTCGCAGCAGAGGGCTCGAATGAGGCCGTACGGCCACCTGTGGGAGAACTCTGCAGTAGGAAGGGCTGGACGAGGCTCCATCCAACGGAGGTCTCTACCAGCTCTGAGATGCTAAGTGCTTTAGAGGGAGGAAGGTGGTGGGCAAATGGATGGAAAGATGGAAGGAAGGAAGGAAGGAAGGACAGATGGATGGATGGGTGGATGAATGGATAGATGGATGGATGGATAGAGGGTAGATCGGTGGATGGATGGATGGATGGATAGAGGGTAGATGGATGGATGGATGGATGGATGGATGGGTAGGTGGATGGATGGATGGATAGAGGGTAGATGGATGGATGGATGGATGGATAGAGGGCAGATGGATGGATGGATGGATGGATGGATAGAGGGTAGATGGATGGATGGATGGATGGATGGGTAGGTGGATGGATGGATGGATGGATAGAGGGTAGATGGATGGATGGATGGGTAGGTGGATGGGTGGATGGATGGATAGAGGGTAGATGGATGGATGGATGGGTAGGTGGATGGGTGGATGGATAGAGGGTAGATGGATGGATGGATGGGTAGGTGGATGGATGAATGGATGGATAGAAGGTAGAAGGGTGGATGGATGGATGGATAGAAAGAAGAAAGGAAGGAAAGAAGATGGATAGGTATGTGGATGGACAAAAAAATGGAAGGAAGGATTGATGGATGGATGGACGGAGGGACAGATGGGTGGAAAGATGGAAAGAAGGAAGGAAGGAAGGAAGATACTTTGACTAATTCATATAGTTTAAGTTTTCAGCACTGTTGAAAGAGGTAAATTAGTTAGTGCCTGAAACATAGTTTGTGCTCAGTAAACTTCGGTTGAATAAATAAATTCCTACGTCTGCCAAATTGTGTCTGCAACAAAAAATATACAAACAAGTCTGACCACAGTTTTTAGACAGGCCCCCCACATCACGGGTAGAGAAACGTCGTCGACCAGAGCCTGCTCCAGACACGTCTGAACAGAACTGACAACACGCCCCACTCTAAGACAACATCAGACGGTCCCTTCTCTGTCCACCCGCTCTGGGCATTCAGCCCTCGGTCCACTGTGGGCCTAGAAAGAGCATGTCCCTCACTGTCTTAGTTTCCGGCTGTGACAAACCCCTCGGAGACCCGTGGCAGGAGACAGCCTCGGTTCTGGCCGCACCCTTGAGTCTCAGCGAGCACCCTGCCCGGCCTCAGTCCCGTGTAAGGGAGGATGGTCATTTGCATGGCCGTGGTTTAGAGCCCCTTCCATTCACTCACCAGCACACCGGTCATCTGTCCCACCAGCTCCTCTTCCCAAGCATCATCCCTCTGGCAAGGACTGGTACCCTGGTGCCCACAGCCTGGGATGGAATCCCAGTTCCTCCACTCGGTAGCTGTGTGTCGTTGGGCTCATTGCTTAATCTCTCTGTGCCTCAGTTTCCTTCACCATCAAACGGGATAATGATAGTCCCTACATTGTGGGTTTTTGTGAGGATGAAAAGGCGAACATTTTTCTGGGACACAGTAAGCACTAGGTCAGCGTTTGCTAAACAAACGAAGAAACCACATCCATGGGAGGTCCTGGAGTTCTCACTCTTCACGAGCAACCGGGGAGGCTGCGGGCAGAGCAGCCTTTGGTCCCGTCCCTGGCCTCGGAGCTCGAGGGCCTGCAGGCTCCGGAGGCAGGGAAGAGCCAGCCCTGGTCCATCCAGGTCCGCAGGGGGCTTTTGCCTGGCGGGGCTGCTCCAACTCCGCAGGCTGCCCCAGCCGCACCCCATTTTATGCATATTAGAGAGAAAGCCAAGCGTGATGGTCTGTGATTGTTCCGTTTGTTTACAGCATTTGTTCAAGCGTATTTCTGGCAAGGAAGCCGACAATAAACCGAGGCCCGGGCGGCCCGGCTGGCGGGGCAGCGAATGAAGACAGCTGCTACGGCGGGTGCTTCCCGGTGGGCCGGCTGGGCCGGAAACCGGGGGCTCTGTCTGGGGCGCTTCAAAGAAGGGCCTTTGTCTGCACCAGCCGGGCCCAGGGCCTGTGGGGGCAGGCAAGCTGGGGCTCCGCGCTGCCCGGCCCGCTCGGCCACCCGGCACCAGCGAGCGCCTCTCCCTGGGCCTCAGTTTCCCAAGAAACACCAGGAACCCGAGTGCAGGCTGCAAGCCAGCCCCTGTTTGGGCTCTGGGGAAGTGGGGGGTCCTCTCGGGGTGCAGCCTGACTCTCTACAGCCTGTGTTCTGCAGCCCTCGAGGTGGAGAGCAAAGCCTGGAAACGAGGCAGCCCCCGGTCACCCAGGAGCCAGGCGAGCCCCGGGGCATGGGTCCCCAAACCAAGGCCGCCCTTCCAGCCACCTGGGGACGAGGACCCAAGGCTCCGAGAAGGGAGGGAATCAGCCGAAGGCCCCAGCATCCGTGCAGGCAGGGCTCGCGGGAGAGGCAGGCTCCTGAGGTCACCGGGCTGCACCCATCCCTCAGGACACGACCCCAAGCACCCACTTCTCGTCCGCTTCCAGAAGGGCTTTGCTCTCTGCACACTTTTGTGGAGGAATGCATGCCTGAATGGATGGATCCATCAATCAGACAGTATATTAACGAATCAATAGAAGAAAGAACGATCTGGCCATTGCCCCCACTGAAGTCTGAGCTGCTGCCAGCTCCAGCAGGCTACCTGCCTCCCAG